ATGACTATCGAATAATACGGGTCAAAATCGAATAGAAATAACTATCGAATAATATGGGTCAAAATCGAATAGAAATGACTATCGAATAATACGGGTTAAAATCGAAGAAAAGAAAAAAACTTGCCATTGCTAATCACTAAAATTTGGAAAGAAATTTTGGAAGAGAAATTTTGTGGCCACATGTTAGCCCCCTCCCCCCTGCATCCAAAACTCTCTAGCTCAGCGGTCACTGATTATAATATGCATCGTCACTCAAAGCTATTGTATAACTATTATTTATTATATATTTACATTCATTCAAGAATTCATGTTTTCCAGGCGAAGCAAGACTCTCCATGATCAAAGATATTTGCCAGCTCCATTTTGAGGGTAAATTCAATCCACCACCCTGTACAAAACACGTTTTACAAGACTATAAAACAGCAGTAGAGTCAGCTATGAAACCATTTTCTTCAACTAAACAACTATTTATTCTAGCAGATCACACTTAAGACAAAACCTTATGGAAAGCACGTTCTTTGCTGGGGGAGGGGTGGGGGATGGTTGGGGCTTCAAAGGGGAGGGGCATCAGTAAAAATGTGAAATTTAATTGAGGGTCCGAACCTTTTTATTTTGACGAAAGCTGGTCCCTTGTCGACGTATTGATGGGAGGGTCATGAATTTTTTACTGAGTGAAAGGGGAAGCGCTACGACCAAAGTTACTGCAAATGAATCCCCCAGCCCTCCCCCAATAGAACAACGTATCTTCCCTTAACACCTTAGTCTAATGAAGTTAATAGAATAAGACGTCAAAGACGTTTAAGACTGAAAATTTACTAGATCGTAAACTGTTTTGAAACCATTTAAATTAAAGTAGATTTTGTGTAAGAGAAAATTTTTACAGATTTTTATGACCCGATTAACAAGCTGACCAAAAAATCGAATTAGAATTAAGAAGTTGAGGTTTCAAGAGATGAGGAAAACCAGATAACTCGATAAATGACCTTCGAAGCACAGGAGAGAACCGACAAGCGACTCCACCACTTCAATGGAGTGTGAGAATCGAGCCTAATGCAGGTCCCATCCTATTGGTGAGAGTCGAAATGTCGATGCAGTCACGCGCCAGCCGATGGTTTTTTGGAATTTTATTCCTGTTTTTTGCCCGGAGAATCGCTTATCTGTAGGTATGAAAAGGAATAGAGAGAAAGAAAGACGAAATAATAAATCAAAAATCAAAAACAAAAACAAACAAAAAACAAAAAAAACATGAGTCGCAAGCGGTAAAAGAAATTGGAAAATTTCTAAGCCTTTTTGCATGAGAATCGTGTTACAATCATTTGGAGGATCAAGGGTTTGACGAGAGCGGAAGACGAAAGTTGAACATTGCTTTTGGCACAAAACTCGTGACGGTATTGATGAGGTCAACCATGATAGTCGCATGTTTATTTTTTCATTGTGTCAATATTCTTAATTACTTTAAGTTTAATTGAAGTCGTCTTTTGTTATTTTAAATGCCAGCTCTCTTTATTTAAGGAAATTATTGGTATTTCTTTATTATTTACATTCTAATGTCATTGATTTTTTCGGTTAAAGTTGAGGGTGATTCTTTGTTGTTTTATTTTTTTACTTATGATTTTCATGGAACAGTATATTATTTAAGATGAGTTCGTTAATTCAGTGTAATATGTAAGTTCTCCTAACCAGTTGAGACATGGTTTATAGTTTCGGCTAAATGAAAACGAGACTTTATGGCAACAGACTTCACTGACCCGCTAAGGTTAAATTTGATTCTAAATGAGGTGAATGGTTGAATGGTAAGATATTTTTATATGGTTTGAGTGATGCATCTCAGAGATATCAAGGTTTATACTCCCAATATGTTAATGATGTGACGTCA